ATATTATATAAAATTTTCCAACTATATAAATAGATTTAATTCATGTCTATTTATATTTTCTATTCATTTAATGAACGATAATAATCTAATATAAAAATGTATAAATTTATGAATTCAAGACAAATAATTTTTAATATATTTTTAATACAACAATAATTTTATTCGGTTCTTTTGGAAATTTTTTTTTATTTTTCTTGCTCGTATGTGGATACTTTCACAAAGTTCATCTCAATTTTACAACGCCAAATATGTGAATAAATCGGATTTAGTTCAAATACTATTGAACATCTTTTTTCAGGTAATCAATATTTAATCTACTTTTTTTTTGCTAAAATTTAATAAATAATAAATTAACTAGATTTTGACCATGCGGCAAGCGCGGAATTAAATAATTAAATAGGTTGACTAATCGATTTTAATATATATAATTTTCTATATTTAAACATATGACAAAGTATATAAATTATAATATATATAAACCTACAAAAATGATATGTATTGTGCATAAATATAAGAAAATTCAATACTTTTGATCAAACATATGTTAATGCAATTAGTTTAAATAGTTATATATGTAAAATTAATCAAAACATATGCAAATGTTTAAATGTAAAATTGATTTTCATTATTCATGTAAATTATAGAGAATGAATTTATTAGATATAAGAAACAAAAGATAATATATGTTTTCTAATAATAAAATGTATAGTTATTTGTAAGTGTGATTAAATATGTAGACTACATCATAATAAAGTTATTTATATCGTGTACTAATCTAAATACATATATACACAATAGATAATATTGTTATAAATATGATAATGAAAACTTGTTAATGTATAGATTATATGGTAAGTCTAAAATGTTACATTTAGTTGGATTTCTATTTTTAAAACATGTATTAGTGAGTTTATATTAAAAGTTAATGAGAAGATATAGAGATTTCCACCAAGGCATATAGTTTAAAATGAAATATTATGATTGGTTAATTTAAATGAGGTGTCCCTTGAATTATTCATTGAGTGACACATAAGATTTTCTCTTTAGTGTCTCCTCAATTAATATATAAAAGACTAGATATATATAGGAAACACACAAAAATGTAAGATAAATTATATAAACTCGCGAGACAAAGATAAAAGAGAAAATAAAACGATAAGAAATCATACTATAGAGAGATTATAAAATAATTGATAGTTTTTATTTTCATAATATAATCGGTTATTTAGATAACGTGATTTATTCAATGACAAACTATATGTAGATGACAAAAAAAAATTAAATATATATATTTAAAATAGTAACCATGGTCTTGATATGATTGATAACATTTCATAGAAAATGTACTATAAATAAGAGAAATAATTTATTTTATTTAAATTCAATACTATTTTGTATGTACAAACAATAATTGTGTTTTGCCAAACATAAATACTAAACTAATAAATAATCCAAATTTTGTTGTCACCAAATTTAATAAAATTGTAAAATAAAAACTCGCACGATGCACGAGTAATATTCTTGTTAATGAATATATTATGTTTTTTTTTCTATGTTTTTTTTTCTACATTTTTAGTGGTTTTAATTGAATTTGAGACGAGCTAAGTGTCGACGGACACACGAATGATGATCAAACATTTCATTTCATAAAATGAAGAGCTTTGAGAAGAGTTCTTGGACCGTTGTCGAGCGGTTCAAGCCTTATCGTAAAAAATATATAACCGTAGATTATGTCATGTGTTAGAAGCCTGATATCTTATCTCATCAACTTTTGGAGAACCATTAATTTATTCTACACTTTAACTTCGTGTGTTAACGAAAAACTAAAATAAACATTCAAGAAAAGTTTTGATGTTTTCCATTAAAAATATGGGATAGGGATTCCTTAAAATATATTTTATAAATTTATACAATAGTTTATAAAATATGTATATATCTTACGAAATATGCAGTATCTAACAAAAATAAAATAAAAACTTTTGAAATATGCAATTGTAATGTGAACTTATCTAACACTTCGGAATAAAATGCTGACCATTTCAAAGTTCATTTAGTTTAAAAAGAGTTATGAATTTAATTGGCTAGGTTTTCCCAGTTATAACAGAAAACAAGTTGCAAAATTATAACGGCTAATCAAATTAAGATTCAAAGTGACAAGGGCCACTTGTTTATGTCATATAAAGACATATAATATCCACTTGTCAGACATATGTCAAATTTAGATGTCCAAAGTGTGTTCCGTATAATGCTTTTCGTATATTATATATTGTATCCCCCGAATAGTTGAATTTATTCGTTGTAGGTGATTCGTCAGTCGTCTTCTGTGGATCTCCATCTTATCCCATTTACATGGTCAAGATAGTCTTCAAGAGGACAAATAAAAGTTTGTCATCTAGAAAACTCTCTTATATTCAAATTAGAATGTGTAAACGTGGTTGGATGTGAGTCTTAGTCGAGAGAATCTAAGGTCAAATCTATTATTTGGTGCAAAAGTTGCACGTCGGAGGAAATTTGAAAGCCTCTGATTAGCAAGACTATCAGGGCTCCATTAGGAATGGCCGCATATTGATTATTCGGATCTAGAGATTTGTTGTTTTATATTGAATTCATTTGTCGTTCTTTAGTTGGTCGACGTAAAATCATCCCTAATATATACACACAAACAACCTAGATGAAGAAACCAAGTTATCAATATCTAAATCAACATCTTAATTCAATCAAATTCTCAAATCCCTTTGAAAACCCTAAAACCCAATTGGAAAATTACTCAGACATGATATAAATCAAATCAGAAGAAGAATTCATAAAAGACATAAGAAAATCAATAAATAAACAAGAGGGTTGTGGCTAACTATCTATTAGGTCTAGCCGCATGCTCCCGGGCACACTAATCGAGACAACCAAAGGTCTTTCTTTTTCCGACGCCAGTGGAGCAAAGGCTCGCCGGTGGAGCAAAGGCTCACCGGCGTCAGACTGTGGCTCTCCTGCATTGCTCTTTCGTCGGTTATCTGCTCTTTTCGACTTGTTACGACCATTCTTTCCGCTGCTCCGAGTACCCTATGAAGGAAAACTCGAATTTAGTGACCGGCGAATCCGCATCTACAAACCACCACATCCCACTGATTTTCTCCGTCTCCGTCTTCCACCACCGCGTCGCTATTTCGGGTATCATTACTCGCATACCACTTGAATCTTGCGCTCTCAACACTTATTCCCTATTCTCGGTCGGCAAAGCCGAAGACTTATACGCCGTTGGACTGTTCAGTTTGGATCTAGCTTTGGGATTACATCACTTTGCTCCAACGGCGCCGTTAGAAACCTTACTTCATCAGAAGTGCCGGCCATGTCCTAATAAATTTCTGCTGTGATTAAATCTGGTCGATGCCTTCTCCTCGTGCAACGGTTGCAAATCTGAGACTTGGAGGAACCGCCGCTCATCCCGGAGCATGGCCCTCTGATGCAAAATCTATAAAGCTTGGGCCTGGCCCAGATGTCTTCTCTCATCTCAACCATAGACGTGGTCTTCGTCGAACTTTCCATCGGTGTGGGCAAAACTGATTTCATCGAGATGTCCCTGTAGGGCCCTGATTCCCTACTCTAGCAATGATGTTGAGATAGCCCTGAAGCTAAGACTCCGGTCATCCTCCCTGAAGGAGATCGGCTCCGTACAAGCGCCGCTGCCCTTCTTTCAACCCGCCGCACCCCCGAAAACCCAAATCGCCATCGACAACACAGTTGATTGGGTATGGGCCTCGGTTTGGGCCTGGGCAAATAAAAGGGATGGGCTTCTAAGCCCAATCCAAATATGGTCTGTTCAATTATGGGGCATGGTCCAGGAGATTTATAAGGTGAACCCAATTTTCACCTCAAAGAATTACAAATTTGATATCTTTTCTTATGAGAAAAAAATTAAAGTTTTCTAGATTCTCAAATCATGTACTTTTTATTGATTTTACTTCCTCTTTTGAGAGAAAAAAGTTTTATGGATTTCCAAATTCTGTAGTTTTTATTGATTTTACCTCCTCTTTTGAGAGTAGACACAAGTTTTATGGGTTCTCAAACCCTGTAATTTACTCCCCGTGGAAGAGTATAATTCCACTTTCGGTTATCTCTTTGAGATTGGTCGTACTTTCTTCCCTCTCCTAGAGAGTGGTCGAACACCCGAGCATTATGTCGGGATTTTCAAAGTCACATTGGAAAGTGACTACCCTAAGACTCTTCGGCTTTGCCGCGAAGACTCTCTTGACGCATCCGAGTCACGACTTGGATTCGTTGTCCATCTTCTACGATGTCATATCTGCTTTAGTTTGTATCGCATTTCAATTATGTTGTATTAATGTGGGAGGATGATTCATTCCCTCATTTTGTACTCGGATCTTTTAAATGAATGAAAAGTTTGTTGAAAAAAAAAACAAGAGGGTTTAGAAATCTTCTCCGAATTGTCAATAAGATTCAGAGATCTTCTCCCAAAAACTTAGAATACAAAAGAGTGAATAAAATACAAGGGTCTCCTTTTAAAGTGGCTAAAAACATGTATTTATAGGTCTAAAATCGTGCACGTCGAAATCTCGCAAAACCAAATCAAATTAGGAAACACTGAAATTTTTCTTTATTTTCGTCGGTTTAGCCAGATTGACAGGTCTTCACGAGAATTAGTGTAACTTTCTGACCGTTGATCCAAATGGCTTCAATATTCTTTTGGATGCTAGCTGACTAAATTTTACATCTCGTGTCCAAATTTCAGATCAATCCAATAACATTAAGACCTCCAACAATTGCTTGACATATGATATTTTAGAAATAACCAATATCCCTTTTTCTCATCCTTCTTTCCCAATTGACATGTAAAAGACTCTAAACACTACAAACACACTAAAACTACCACTTAAGGTATAAAACCGCATGAAAACCATTAGATAGAATAATAAAACCATATCCAAAAACCATAAAAACCATACGTAAGTAAGAGTTGAGGGTACCAACTTAGGTTGTTCTAGTGGTTAAACTATCTTGTAGATCTGAAAAAACTTAACCTTTATTATTGCGGTTTGATCATTATTGATAATTGCAAATGCCTTAAATAGCACGAGTACTTTTTTTTTTAGTCACAAGCACGAGTACTTGTTCATCCATAAAAATTAAAAGTAATTTTGATATCAACTTCAAATGAGAGAATTTTATTTATACATGTAGAAATAGATGATCAATTGCCATAAATTCCTTATCTTATACAAATTCTTATCCAGTCTTTCAATTTTGATTAAAATTTGCCAAATCTAATCTAATTGCGTACCAAATCTAATATACGTAAGCACAAAAAATGAAAATATATTTATTACCATTATAAGAATATAGCACCGTTCTGACCATCAAATATGTTAGAATCTCGTTGGAATAAGCTATCTTTGTTGAATCATGATGAATAAAATTGTTTCGGAATGGAATCTATCTATTATATAATGGGACAGATCTCTCTCTACGTCAGCCAAAACTCTGTTCTTATTCTGGATCCCACAATTAATAAGATTTATTTCCAAAAATTTAAACCTATTTAAATAAACATCAGTTGGGCTTCTTAATATATTGGCCTGTTGGGAAAATCCAACACTACACTAAACAACACACATTTATTTAACCCTTCTCCATCTTCTTCAGTCATTTCGTCTCCTTTGCTTCCTTCACCCATGTAACGCCCGTGAACCAAAAAGGGGATTTTTTTGGGCATGTGTGTCGATCCACGGAGTAAAATCAGACCGACGGTTTCGGTTTCTGATTTGCCGGTTTGGGGAGCGGTTTAGGAAACCCTAGGGTTTNNTTATAAAANCNTGGGGAANGNGTTTTCTCTTTTCTTTTGGNCNAAATCAGAAGAGGTTGNGAGAGGAAAGAGAGTGTTTATGTGAGGATTGTGAGAGAAGTGATTCCTTGAGAGAAAATCAATTATGCTCGGGTTTTTGGAAGAGACGATCGGCTGGGAAGATGGGATCGGATCAGAGTGAAACTTTGAGGGTAAGTTCTCCAATCTCTAATCTTGATTCAGGAGGAAACGTTTTGTAAATCGGATGTGTATTCTGAGAGTTATCGTTCTTTTCCCGAGAGAGGTTTCTGCAGTTTCGTGTCTGCGATCAGTCCGCTTCGAGGGAGGATTCCCGTCGAACCAGAAAGAATCAGGAGACCATCCATATGCCGTTGGAAAGACCTCGCTGTCTAGTTTTTAGATCAGAGTTCTGATCCTGATTCGGAGGTAATCTCCGTTCTCTGTGTTCTTTCGATTTCAGGGTGTCGTTTCTGAAATCTCTGTTTTCCAGTTCTGATCAGCGAGATTGCGAGCTATTTTCCCGTTGAATCTTAGGGACGCAGAGGAAGATCTACATACAGTTGTGTAGATCTCTCTGTCTAGTTTTCAGAACCGTTTTCCGATTCTATTTCAGAGCTGTGGTTGATGAGATAATCGATTCCGAAATCAAGATGAGTGCGCGACCATAGACCGTCGGATTAGGATTTGATGGAATATGATTGATTGCTATTGTTTCTGGTTGTATTCGTGTTTGAATGTTGAATTTTGTGCAGGAGATCGATGAAAACGCGTCTAGAATCGATCCATGAGAGGATATGATCGATTCTGATTTTCTGCGTTTTCTGGGCTCCGTGTCGAGCGACACACGGTATTTGTGTTGATCGACATAGACTGTGCCGATCAACACAGAGTGTTTGTGTCGATCGACACGC